CATGGGGAGAAATGCCAGATACAGTATGCACCTAAAGTAAAATAAATAAAATAAAAATAAATAAATAAAATAATAAAATAATAAAATATGTATAAGCCTCCCGGTGAATGTATGTTTTCTATTCTTAATACATTGATGAATTAAAATACCCATTATAGAAATTTATTTACCTAGTAAATCTAAAGAATTGCCAGACTTTGTGTCAACAATGAAAAATGAGGAAAGCTGTGTAGCCCGGGCAGCTGATTTATTCTGTTTAGTCTTGGGAACATTTTATTCCTCAGAAAATGACATTACTGGCATTATAATCACTAAATAGTATCATATTATACTCCAATATTATATTTCTACCTTCAGAAACATTCTTTACTCTCATGAAACCACGTGGGTGGGAGCAATGACAAAAAAGCCTAGAGTTACATTAGAATTTAAGAAACTGAGATAGGATTCTCAATGGTGCCATATTTTAACATGGAAATATCACTATTAATAGTAATGTGCTAAGTATAATACTTTTTCCTAATTTTACAGATTTACAATTTAGTCCATTATTCTTCCTTTTTTTCCATTTTCCTGGGTTCTGGCTTTATTCCATTATTAGATCTATTTTCCTTGGGGAATAAAATTCTTGTCATATAATTTAGCATTTGATAATCAGTTAGTATGTTGATATGAAGAGATTTAATTTCTAGGTGGCTGAAACTCCCAGGTAAAATTACGCTGAAGGATTATCTACAGGTTATTATTAAATCCAAAACTACCAGTCATGTTCTTTGTGTAAAATAAATCTTCCATTGTATTAATCATCAAGCTTTTTCCTTCATATAATCCTCAAAGGAATTTTTTATATATGTACCTCTCCACATTTATAATTGACATATTAATTTTGCAATCATTTAGACAATTGTAAAGGGTGCAATTTACAGACAGTATTGATCATTACCTGTTTTTTCTTAAACCTATACCTACCATTTTCTACTCTGCTATATACTGTGAGCCTTACAGGGATGGGAATCTGCAAACCACATTTCCCAGGCTCCTTTGCCATCTGGCTTCTCTATAATTTCCACCAGAGGGAAACCATTTAAGATATCAGACAGGAAAGGAAAGAAAAGAGCCTTCTGCTTTAAATGATTATTTCAGTGGCTGCAATAGTAGTGGCAGTAGGTGATTCTCGATTCCAGCAGCTAGGGCACAGGCAGCAACTTTTTGCCAATTCCAGCTCTGACCAAGGTGCATATGTCTGGCAGATACAGTCAACTGGCACATCAGTAGCACCAGAGATCTGTGTTTTACTCTTTTCTTTTTGCTTTTCCAGTGTCCTACTCTGTTATTCTTTTGCTCTTTCATTCCTTCTAGCACATTTGTGATCAACCCTCCATATTAAATTCTCCTCTTTTCAAAATTCTAGGAATGGTTTTCATTTTCCTGAGTGAACATGGGCACTGACTTATGTTTATTGTGTTGTAAATATTGACAATTTAAAATTGTCAAGTCACTTTCAAAATTATATCCGTTAGAATCGAAGTATCATAATGGTTTGACCTCATGCTTTAATAGGTAGAATATTTATATTATTTTATTTTATGCTTGAATTATATTTATGTTTTGCTCCACTCTCACAAAATTGTAATGCAAATACAATAGCAATGTATGTTTGAAAGTCTTTTCTTGGATCACCAAAGTATTTTTGCATAAAAATATGCATGCAAATTAAAATTAAAATCTTTATTAAATAACTGGTGACTATAAGGTACTAGGTATAAAACTTTTTTTGGATCGAGTCATGATTAGATTAGCATATAATCTATTGATTCGGTGTCTACAAAAATAAAATTTTATTAGAAATGCATCTTACAATGTTTTGGATAGAGCTTTGTTAAAAAAAATAATTTAGGCATCCATGGGTCAATGCTAATTATGGTTTAAATGAGGTAGAGTTTCACATCAAGATTTAATTTCTGTATTTTTTTACTTCATAGAAATCTTTTTCACACAAATGAACATATGAAAAAAGAAATTTTTAGTTTCTATTTCAAAATGTCACTCAACTCCTTGAAATTTTTTTGTACTAAATATACTAGCTTGCCCCTTGGAAAGTCTTCTAGTATCCCTAAATACTCCACTTTAAAAGCTGCTGACTTTAAAGCTACCCAAAGAAGAAACTACATCACAAAACATCCAACTGTATCTAACTCAGAGTTATCTTTGTTTTTAATTTTATATTTTGGTACTTCTATTCCAAACTTGATATGCTTGTTATTTCTTATATAAAGTTCTCTGTGGGCCTCTCTTCCCTTCTAAACTAGGAGAAAGTAATTTCTCAGTTACATTAACTCACCCTTAACAATTTCTCCTGTGCTAAGCAGAAGATATCTCTCATTTATCTATTTCACATATTTTGGCAGGATTTCTGTTTTCGTAAGTGTTAAGAACAGATTATTTGCAGAAAATTGTAAAAGTAGTGAGGCAGAGAAGTACATAGGATACTTTAGTATATTATTAGTTTTTAAATAGACTCCATATGTACATCATACAAATCATTCACTCTCTCTCTCTCTCTCTCTCTCTGACTGCATTTTCCTCTCTTTAAAGTATGTATGTACTGAACCACTGACTTCTGGTTTTATTGGGAAAGCTCTCTAACTTGAGATCGACACCACTCTGAAGCTTTAGTTTCACCCCTGGAAATTACTCTGTAATAATCATATGAATTCAGAGCTCACTTTCTATCGTTTCTTCTTTGACTCTTCTTTAATGTGATGGTTTGTCCATAATCACTATGACACATAATTTCACAAGGTGAAACATTATTTTAGTTTTGGTAGCCCCTTAGGCAAACATTGGTTAATCCTGTTATTTTTTAAAGTCTTATTATCATGTACAGAGATATTCATTGGCAATATTTATTTAAAATATACTTAGATTTTAAAAATATGTATATTATTGGAAGGTATAATAACAACAATAAGCTTGTTTTTCTGGAGTGCCATCATATTATTATTATGCCATTTCAATAGTGTCTTTCGCTTTACAGGGGTAAATACACCTCATAAAGTTTGAATATTATGAATTTTCTTGGAAAGCTAAATTATTTTATAGTGTTTGATTAAAATTTCATTTATGTAATTGAATTAACATTTGTAATTGTAAAAACTTACGTCTTTACTGATAACAGTTAGAATACAGTTAGGGAATGTTATGTACCTTTATCTTGATAGTCATTTTCTAATGTTGGCTGTTCTTTCCTTCTTGAAATGTTATTTTCTGTTGGTATTCATGCAACCCATTTTCTCAATTTTCTTTTAATCTCTCTACCTACTCAAACTAAGTCCTTTTGTAGGTTTCTTTTCCACCTGTTTAATAGTTTTCCCAAAGCCCAGTCAGTGTGGCTAAATATTTGCTTGAACAAAGTCAGAACCTAGTTGCAATAAATAGTTTTATATTTTTTTCTGTCTAAAAATCATGTCAGTTTCTTTAAGCCTCAATTTTTTGTTTACAAAAAGACTCCCTCTAAACTATAAATAAATACACAATAATGACGTGATCTTACAGGCAAATAATATGACGATTTTTTTTGTGAAGAACATACTATTTCTCGTGTATGACTGTTATGCAATAAACTTATATTTTCAAAACATTGTAGTTGGAAATGATCTTACCATTAACACACTTGGACGTCTTACTTTATAGGTGAAAAAGCAAGTGTCCAAAATTTAAACTAACTAGTGCAAGCACATATAACAAATTAAAAACAACACCAACATACTAATTTGAATGCTTTTTATGTTTAATTTGCATCTAGCAAGTATGGTTTATTAGCATAATAACTCATTAAGGATTTTAACCACTATATAGAATAAATTTGTATAATGCCTTTTCTTTACAGTGATTTTAATATGATTGCTAATCTGGGTTCAGATCAGGAAAGAGCCCTTAGAAATATAAAGGTAGAACCCTGAATTTGGGAGTTTTTGTTTGTTTGCTTGTTTTGAGACAGAGCCTTGTTCTGTCACCCAGGCTGGAGTGCAGTGGCGTGATCTCTACTCACTACAACCTCCACCTCCCAGGTTCAAGCAATTCTCCTGCCTCAGCCTCCTGAGTAGCTGGGACTACAGGGACACGCCACCACACCCAGCTAATTTTTGTATTTTTAGTAGAGATGGGGTTTCGCCATGTTGGCCAGGTTGGTCTCGATCTCTTGACCTCATGATCCACCCACCTCGGCCTCCCAAAGTGCTGGGATTACAGGTGTGAGCCACCATGCCCAGCCTGTGAGTTTTAAAAGAACAGAAGATAAAGTGGAATGATTTTAATAAGAAGGAAGAGGACTGATGATTGCCCATTTTGTATTAAAAATAATGATATTAATGTTTTCGCAATAAAATTCTATATGTAACTTATTTATTAAATAGACCAAATTCAATAGGATTTTATAGAATATAGAAAAAACTTTGTTATTTTTCCTACCACTGCCTTAAGAAACCTTTTATTCTACTCGTTTCCATTCCTTGCAAATGATTTAGGTTAGATCCTTTAGGTTTCTGAGTTCTTTAAAGCATTTGAGAAATTGTACTAATTCTAGCAATGATTGACTAGTTTGTATTGGACTAGCCCTATAAAAATGAAAATTGTAAATTCAGGATCAAATTGAAAAAAAAAAAATAGAAGGGACTGGAGAGCAACCCAAAGCAGGCAGAAACTACAGGGTATTCTGCACTTGAAAATGGTACGTGCACTGGGTGGTGCCCTCCTTTGTAAGGCTTATTCATCGAGGACCTACCTCAGTTCAGGGGATATGAGGTGGACAGAGCTCAGGTAGAAAGTCTGTCTTTAACTACCTTGTAAGAGGATGGAGTTTGAATCAGCTATATTCTCCAGAAATCGAAAAGGGAAACAGAAGAAGGAGGATGCCACAGAAGAGTTACTACGTGTTACTATTCAGCTTCAAGGTGTTACCATTGAATCTTTAGGAATGAGACAAATAAATGGATTCTTACCTTAAAGACTAGTTCTCCTACCAAGCCATTCCATGTCCCATCTTCTTGTGGGCTTCCATATTTGTGATCCGGTGCTATATAAATTTCATAGTTAAAACCCAGGTAGTTAGATAAGGCATCCAAAACGTCAATGGAGAAGCCCTGGTATTTCTTCGGCTTACCCAAGACATTTTCAGAGACCATCACAAAAGGTTCTTCCTACATGGAAATAAGAGAAATTTCTGATGTCAATCCAAATGCTTTCTAAAAGCAAAGATGAATTCTTCAGAGAGTTTTGCTTATTAAATCTAAAAATTGCTTTATACTTTGGAAGGACCAACTCAGGAATGTAATTCATGCATTATTAATGAATCATACTATTTAACAATGCTTAATCATCCAATTTCTTATCATCTCCCTTTTAATTATTACCATATCAAAAATTAGATAAAAGTGACTAAAAACTTAGGGTCCATGAGTTTATTTTCCCTGCCATCTGAGGACAAATCTGAGATTACTCAATAACGAAGCATTTAACAAACTATAAATTTGTCATATTTATCATTAGGCATTTATTGTCTGTAAATCATGTAAATTACATACAATAAAATTATAACAGATATAATCTACATAAAACTCTGAAAATATCAAGAAATTCTAAGAACATATAATTTAGTTGCAATTAATAATATTACATTTACTGGGAGTTATTCACTAAGTAATTTTGTGACTTTGATATAAACACATTTTATTGCAAAAATAGCTTCTTTATGACTGCTATGAGAAATTCACTAATCTTTTCAATAAACTGTCTAATTTAGTAAATTTAGGAAATTGGTTTCTGCTTCTACTTCTTTTATCTTTTCCCATTTTTATCTTCTTAAAGCTAACAAATAGGCCCCTTTCACTTTTGAGAACACCTGCTGTTAAGAGAGCTCGATTGATTTGAAACATGCTGGCAGACTACAGAAAATTAGATAATCTATTCCTTAATTTCCTACACTTGTTCAGAAATCTTTCAGCAACAGTAATATTTACAGATAACCATTCATAGTCTGTCCAGCCCTCTGGCCAGGCTAAAATCTCTCCTTGTATATAAGCCGGAATACCCAAAGATATTTTTTGTTTGTTTGTTGAATCATTTTTCCTCAGGGACTCACAAAATAGCCTTCATAATGCTTTCATTTTGGCTTTTATTCAAAGACACTATAAGTAGCTTATAAAAATCACTGCACCTGCACCTGTTATAGGAATATTATCAACCATAATATACAGCTTTCTCCCTAAAAATTACCATGAGATAAATTTTGTAATTGTTCAGGGTCAAAGGGCTTCATTCATCTCAGAACTGTATTTTTCAAAATGATGAAAACAACATGACCAATTATTGAGGTATTGCTTTTCACTTTGGCTATCCAAAAAATCAGTACTTAAGTTTGATGTTCATCTAAAACTATGTTGATATTGTAGTATTTATGACATTTATTTAATCTTGGTTATCTAAAGTACTTACATTTTCTAATTTTGAAAATATTTTTGTTTCGCTGTTTATATGTTATTTTAGAGTAAAATGAACCAGTAAATGGACAGTTAGTAGGGCAGGTTACTGCTAGTTGTCCTCCTGGGGAGTTCTCTTCTTCTCTAATTATAATTCTTTAAAATTTTACCACTATAGAGAATAAAGACAATCTGTAGTCCTACTTCAGGCGAAGTGGTTTGCTTCATGGCCATGTGACTAATTCTGGCCAATGTGATGTAAGCACAGTGGTTTGTGTCACATTTCTTGTTATTTCTGCTGTCTGCAAACCAGAAAAAACACACAATGGCTGGTGTTCTCATAACTATCTGAGACTACAGACAGCAAAGAAAGGAGAAGACAATGTCCCTGACACCTAAAATGCCATACAACACTTGGGTCAACTTGCTATAGCTGTAGAAAAAGCAAGAAAGAAAGAAAGAGAGAAAGAGAGAAAGAAAGAAAGAAAGAAAGAGAAAGGAAGGAAGGAAGGAAAGAAAGAAAGAAGGAAGGAAGGGGGGAGAAAAAGAAAGAAAGAGAGAGAGAGAGAAAGAAAGAAAGAAAGAAAGAAAGAAAGAAAGAAAGAAAGAAAGA